ATATTGCCTTCCACATAGGGAACCTTGTTTTTTCCATTAATTATCATTATCATGGAGAATTTCAATGGCAGAGGGATTTTTTAAGCTTGTCTTAATAGATTTAAAATAGAAGTGATTCTGGTGATTTTTGTAGCTTGTAAAGCACAAAGAAGCCTTTTGCTTTCTTGCTGGACAGTTAGCTAAGTGTCAGTCTGAGGAACAACATTTTCCTTGAGATGTATTGGCTGCTGAAGCATTGGGCTTCTCCAGCCCTATTATCTTCTGGGTTCAGGCAAGTGTTTGTGTTTGATTATGTTCTCCCCTCCTTTTGCTATGTTTTCTGTGTAATAAACACCCAGGTCAAATCCTGAACTGGTATAAATCTCCTGGACTAAATGATTTCTGCTTGCTGAGTTGCCACTTTGTGGGAATGACATTTCAGTCATGCATCACATCCAGGACAAACAAGATTCATGGGAGAGCTGCCCAGCTGTGCAATAATACCATGACAAGACGTGCACTCTGTAAGAATATGTGCTGAAAGCAGTTGTGGCATAAGAGCTGGTGGGATTTACCCAGTGTCATGGGGAAGTGGGGACTGGAGCTAGAACTCCTACTTGACTACAGTTTTGGATGCTTTCTGCATTCCCCCTCTGTGCTATTTCCCATTCCTCCTTTCTCCCAACAAGTGCCCTGGCACTCCATATTGCTGTGGGTTTGTTTTGGTCCAGGACGTGCCTTCTGTGTTGAGGAACAGGAATTAGGGTTTCTTCTGTACCTTTGCTTGAATGCGGTTGTGTTTTCTATTGCTGGTACTCTACGATTAGGACTATACTCAGAAATGTTCTGAAGAGCCAGCAACAGTCTACCTAATAAATCCATTCCTAGACACAAGTTCTTCGCCACCTCCTTGTTTCTAACCTGTGTACACATTTGTCACAGGTGGTTCTTGCATTGTATCCTCTCCCCTTCTTCTCAGTTTCGTGGACCTTGCCTTTGTGAGGCAGAACTTGGACAGAGAAAAGTGTCCACAGCAAACACACAACTCCAGAATCTCTGATCTCCACCACCCCCCTTTCTCTCCCTGATACCCATGAGCTGAGACAGGTTTAAATGGGAGAACATCGCTGATATCTGGATGGTCTCTGCTTTACAAGAAACAGCACAATGCAGAGGAATTTTGGTGCAAGCTACAGTCTACAGGAGTAATCTGGGCAGTGAGGAGGGAGTAAAGCCAGAAACCCTGAGTGATTACAGGGTAAATTAAGATGAACTAGAATACAGAATGGCAGCACACTGGGGACACAGCAGGATCTGGACTGCAGTCAGTGCTTGGAAACTCAGAAGAAGTTTTCTCTTATTTTTCTTTTTTGCTTTCATAGGGAAATTTGTAAATCATCTCTCTCTTTTTTTTAGTCTGGAATAATTAAAGAAAAACACGAAAACTTTAATCTTGTAAGTGCCTTGGGTAAAAATGCAGGTTAGTGAAAGATTTGATATAAGGAAAAAAAATATTCTTTCTCTGGCCTCTAAATCTCACAATAACCATGATACAATGACAATTGCTGCTTTATGAATGTCAGAAAAGATATGCGTTTCAGTACATGCAGAATTTTGAAAATCTGGAACTTGTATTTTAGATGAGTTTTTAGATTCTTTCATATATTTGAGATAGCCAAGAAGTTGGTATGTTATAGGTACAAATCAACTTGATCATTGTCGTTTTTTTGTTGTTTATGTGTACCGAGACGTTCCCCCTGTCAATTACAGAAGCTGTAATTTTCATCAAATCATAGAATCGCTTAGGTTGGAAAAGACCTTTAAGATCATCAAGTCCAACCATTAACTTAGCACTGCCAAGTCCACCATTAAACCATGTCCCTAAGCACCACATCTACATGTCTTCTAAATACCTGCAGGGACGGTGACTCAACCACTTCCCTGGGCAGACTGTTCCAATGATTGACAACCCTTTCTGTGAAGAATTTTTTCCTAATATCCAATCTAAACCTCCCCTGGCACAACTTGAGGCTGTTTCCTTTTGTCCTATCACTTGTTACCTGGGAGAAGAGACCGACACCCACCTGGCTACAACCTCCTTTCAGGTAGTTGTAGAGAGCTATAAGGTCTCCCCTCAGCCTCCTTTTCTCCACGCTAAGCAACTCCAGTTCCCTCTGCTGCTCCTCATAAATCTTGTGCTCTAGACCCTTCACCAGCTTCGTTGCCCTTCTTTGGACATGCTCCAGGACCTTAGTGTCTTTCC